CTGCATTGAGCATCTGCCCCCTGGTGGCCAGTGTGCATCATAGCAACCAGTCATTCTGCCGTTCAGTCAATATGCATATTAGCCTTTTATTATTATTATATAGGATGTCCCTATTCCCCCCCTTTTGCCCCCTCTACCCAGCTCTTGCCCCCCACTTTTCTCTGGCCATCACCATACTGTTGTCTGTGTCCATGGGTTGTGCATATATTTTCTTTGGCTAATCCCTTCTTTAAATTCACTTCTTTAAATTTGTATTTTCAGATAAGTGCTTATAACTGCACTATTATATATTTTCTATTATATCATTTAGAATTAAGATATTTTTTAATTGAACCCTTGTAAATTTTAGCACAATTTAATAAATTATGCTAGAAGCAATTAGGAGATTTTTCATGTAATGCAGATACATTTCAATTAATATTTTATTAATTTTTTAATTTTTTAATATTTTAATTTGAAATAATCTCATACATCTAAAAAAACTATAAAATATTACAGCATATTATATGTACCCTTCACCCAATTTCTTAGGTGTTAATAATTTAAACATAACCATTATACAACTAACAGAATTTGGAATATATTTTTCTTATAATCTCTTTAATGTTACTTAATCCATTTACTTTGTTTTTGTTAATCTTCACCCAAGGATATTTTTCCATTAAATTTTAGAGAGAGTGAAGGGAAAGGGAGAGACATATTGATTGGTTGCCTCCTGCACATGCTTTGATAGGGACTGGGGCTCAAGCCAGCAACTGAGGTACATGCCCTTGACTGGAATCAAACCTGGGACCCTTCAGTCCACAGGCTAATGCTCTATCCACTGAGCAAAACAGGCTTCAGCTTAATTCATTTACTTTTAATCTATATGTGTCTTTATATTTAAAGTGGGTTTTGTTTTTGATTCACCCTCATAATCTGTCCTTTAATTGGTGCATTTATGCCACTGACTTTCAGAGTGCTTACTGATAGAGTTACTACCATATCAGGCGGCTTCTGGGTCTTCTGGGTCCTGCCCTGCCTTGCCTTTTTTTCTTCTTTTTTTCTAAGACATTTCAATTTATTTAAAATAAGCCAATATACAGGATATAAAGGTATGATGTTTACAACAGTACAGTAAATAGGTTGGTTTCCCGGTAGGATCAGTAGTCTTTCAGTGAGTATAAACCCCCTTTCCCCTTGATGCTCGACCCAGCTGGCAGACAAACAGCAACAGTGGGGTGGGATGGGACTGCAGGATAGAAAGTCTCCCTGAAGGGATTAAAAATCACGTAGATGCTAAAATGTCCACGAAGGGATCTTGGGGGTGAGGGGTGCCTCTGCCTCATTCCTTTGAGGGCTTGGCAGCAGGAATGCTGAGGGATTTGCCCCAAACTAACACATGGCCCACCCTGAACCTGTAAATCTTTCACCCATGGAATATTGCCTTCCTGAGAGAATCAGCCCTAATCCCTCAGCCAGGGCCTGGAGGAGCCGCCCAGGCCGTGGGCACAGCCAGGACTGTGGACATTTCATGGCATTTCCACTCCCACTCCAGCTGCCTAACAACTCTGCACTGCCCCCCTCGTCCACCTCCCCCATCACTCCATCAGGACACTGTGCACAGGAGGGGACACTGGTTTTCCCATGCACATTGGGAACTGGCTGTTTCTGTTTTCTGGAGTAAAAAGGTTCCTGTGGGTCGGGTAAGGTCTCTGCTTGGCAAGAAGTTCTGTAACAGAGCCACTGACCACACCCACCTCCTCTGGGCATGGAGCAGCTCCGGCCCTCAGAGCTCATCTCTCCAGCAGAACTGAAGGGAAGACCGTGTGTACCCTTCTGTCCCTCACCCTTCACATGCCCAGAACCATCAGTGTCACACTTCCTAATTCGTATCACTGTATTTCATTAGTTCCATACTGTTTTACTAATCATGAATCTAAACAGATTGGTTCAAAAGGAGATCCTTCTATTTTTAAAGTAGCTGGGGCTTCTGGGGGAAGGCCTTGCCTTGCAGCCAGGATCCGCTGATGGGCGGTTCCCGGGCCTCAAGGCAAGACCTGCTGCTGGGGGCAGGCCTTGCCTTGCAGCCTGGACCCGCTGATGGGCGGTTCCCAGGCCACAAGGCAAGACCGGCTGCTGAGGCTTCTGGGAGCGGTCCCCACTGGGGTGCCTGGCCAGTCTGGGTGAGGGGCTGAGGGCTGTTTTTAGGCTGCCCGCACCCCCTTTAGGGTAGGGGTCCCCACTGGGGTGCCTGGCCAGTCTGGGTGAGGGGCTGATGGCTGTTTTTAGGCTGTCCGCACCCCCTTTAGGGTGGAGGTCCCTACTGGGGTGCCTGGCCAGCCTGGATGAGGGGCTGATGGCTGTTTTTAGGCTGCCCGCACCCCCTTTAGGGTGGGGGTCACCACTGGGGTGCCTGGCCAGTCTGGATGAGGGGCTGAGAGCCGTTTTCAGGCTGGCGGGTGACTGAAGCTCCCAACCTCTCCTTTTTTTCTTTTTTTTAAATTTTATTCTGGGATTTATTTACCTTCTATGGCTGTCACTGGAGCTGAGAGCCAGCTTTAGCTCTGAGGCCGGCTCCAGCTTGAGGCCTCGGCTGCTGAAAGCAGGTTATCTGGGCTTTGTTTAGCTTCTATAATTGAAACTCTGTTGCCATCACTGGAGCTCTAAGCTCTGAGCCCGCTGACGGCTGAAAGCAGCTATCTGGGCTTTGTTTAGCTTCTATAATTGCAACATTGTTGCATCCGGAGCTCAGAGCTGGGCTGCCGCAGGCCGGGAACGTTGGCTTCCTCCATCACTGGAGCAAGCAAGCCTCCTGTTCGCTTCAGCTGCCTGGCTGCCCGCCGCCATCTTGGTTTGTTTGCATATCCTGCTGATTAGCCAATGGGAAGCGTTCGGGGGTATGGTCAATTTGCATCTTTCTCTTTTATTAGTGTACATAGCCAAAAAGTGAAAGTAACCTAAATGCCCATCAGTTGATGAATGGATATATAAAATGTGGTATATCCATACATGGAATATTATTCAGCCATAAAAAAGAATTAAGTACTAATATGCTATAATATGAATAATCCTTGAAAACACTGTATTAAGTCAGGGTTGGGGAAACTTTTTTCTGCCAAGGGCCAAACAAAATTATCAACTTAAAAATTAGCCTGCTATATTTGGTCAAACATTTAATTAAATCACCCCTAATGCCTTAGCAGGGCCTGACCAAATGATTTCTCCGGCCTTACACGGCCCATGGGCCGGATGTTCCCAACCCCTGTATTAAGTGAAAGAAACCCAACACAAAAGGCCACATAGTGTGTGACTCCATTGACATTAAATGTCCAGAATAGACAAATCCATAGGGACAGAAATGAGGTTAGTGACTGCCAGGGGCTGGAGGGGTGAGGGGTGGGTGCTAATGGATATGTGATTTCTTATGGAGGTGATGAAATGTTCTGGAATTAGTGTACAATTTTGTAAATATACTAAAACCCACTCACTTATACATTTTAAAAAGGTGAGTTTTATGGATGTGAATTATATTCCAACTTAAAAAAAGTTCCTTCAAGCATTCTCATCATTCTAGGAGTGATGGAATTTAATTAAGAGGCTAGATTATATCAACATGCAAACAGACTGTAGCAAAACAAAACTGTTAAAATATATATATATATATATATATATATATATATATATAAAGTAATTATTAGTAAAGAATAAGCTACAAGTTTAACGGGGGAAAAGATAGCATTTTCCGTAAAGTTCTCCAAATCAATATTTATTTTTCTGCATTCTTTTATTGTCTCTAAATTGGGGGTGGGGGTGGGGATAGCAGTAGAGAAAAATGAGCTATATTACTCTCTGGTCCTTTTCCCTCAATAACTTTAATTAATCTTCAAAGCTGTCCCCTCCACTTACTATATCACAGGAATTTACCCTGCATAAATGATAGCAAAGCTAACAGAACATAGCTCTTTTGCTATGATTTTCAATAATTTTTTTTCAACAGGTACTTCTATGAGTGTGAAACAAGAGGAAATGATTTGCAAGTAATTGGGGAAAGAGGTAGTGGCATTTAACATTCATATTTCAGAGATTCGGGATGAATTTTAAGTACTACAGTCCAGGGAATGTGACACTTGGAAAGTTCTGCAGTCTTAACTCATTATCTTTGGGGCTGGAGATACACTGGGCAGGCAAGAGCCCGATAATCCTTACAGAAGACAGAAGGGAAATTGAGATTGCATTTCTGTCTGCATGTTAAGGGAAGATTAATGACATTAAGGCAGAGGTAGAGGCTGTCAGTAGTTTGCTCCTCCCCTCAATTACTCCCTAGTACTCTAGTAGGAATACCAGGCTCCATGTTCAGTGTTACCATTACTTATCCTGGAGTGGGTTAAGTATTTTCATTAGAAAAGCTTCAGCTAGAAAATGTGATTCTTCTTTCAAAGACAAAATGAGTAGAAATTAATTGAGAGAATGGGGAAAGGCTGAAGGAGTCAAAAAGGTCTGAAGAAAATGCAGCAGCTACAGAAGATGCTTACACCTACAATAATAAACGTGTAATATGCAAACTGACCAAATGGCCGAGCAGCGGCTCTTGCACGAATTTCGTGCCTAGGGCCTCTGTCTACGAGGTACTCAAGTCCCACTGTTAGAAAAATAGCAGCAGCAGACTGCCCTGGCCGGTTTGGCCGTGGGCCTGCAGACCCAAGGGTCCCCGTTCAATTCTGGTCAAGGACAGGTACCGGGGTTGCAGGCTCCTCCCTGGTGTGAACAGGATGACAACCATCCATGTGTTTCTCTCACGTGGATATTTCTCTCTGTCCCTCTCTCTTCCACTGTCTAAAAATCAATGGGAAAATATCCTCGGGTGAGGATTAAAAAATAACAATAGTAACAGCAGATAAACCTGCCTTTTGTATGGTACTTTGCCCATTGCAAAGCCCGTTCACACCCACTGCTCTGCAGCAGCCAGCAACTCCCACCGCACGCGTCCCCGCGCGGCCCGAGGCCCGTGGACCACATACCTGCGTGTACTTGCGGAAAAACACCCCTTGCACCTTCCCAAACACCTCATAATCCACCGATATCAGGGTGTCCCCTTCGGCCATGTTCATGCTCCAACCTGTCAGACGCCAGGGAAACAGAGAAGTAAATAGACGGGACTCGTTATCCTCGACCAGAACCCGCAATCGGGGCAGAAAGGCCACCCCACACCCTCGACGCGGCGACCTCTCCCTGGCCTGCCCCCCGAACCCCAGGAAACCCCAGGGCATGCAAGCGGGTACCCGAAAGCGCGGGCCGCGCAGTAACAGGAAGGCGCCGGGGAGTTTGGGTCGAAGCTGCCCACGGAGGCCTCTGGGGACAATTCCCTTTCATCCAATTCCCTTCCCACACCGTCCGCTCGCTCGCCATCCCTCCCGCTTCCCACGGACCTCGCTTCCACACGCCCCGGATTCCTCGCCCACGAACATCTACAGCCAACGGAACTGAGGGGCCCGCCCCGGACCGGGCTCACCCTCCCGGCCTTCCCGTCCGGAGGCCGGGCGGCACCCGCGACCACCGACCACCGACCACCGACCGCCGACCGCCGCGCCAACGGCTCCCCCTGTCGCGTAACCGCCGCTCCGGAAGCTCAGAGCGCAGCTCTTCCTTCGCTGTGTCGCATGCCCATCACGTCTGATGACCAATCAGGGGCGGCGCGCTCGGCCTAAGCCCGCCCAGAGGGTGGGATTTGGGGACCGGTTCTCTGGGACAGCTCGGGAGCCTCGGGCTGGATGCCTTGTCGTGAGGAGTGACAGTTTAATTTAATTATCCCGGCTTTTCAGAAAACGGCAGCTGCCAACACTAGGTATTATAAATGATGTAAATTATAATGAAGTGCCCAACAGCAACTGTTGTTTCAAAAGGGGATCTGTCCAGGGTGTCAGCTCGGATTCCACAGACCTCACCCTCACCCTTTCTCTTTTTTAAAACTTTTATTTTTAAAATCTTTATTGTTGAAAGTATTACATATGTCCTCTTTCCCCCCCTCCATTGACTCCTTTAGCTCGCCCCGCCCCACCCGCCCCAGGCCTTCACCACCCCATTGCCTGCGTCCCTGGGTTGTGCATCTATCCAGCGGTTCTCAACCTGTGGGTCGCGACCCCTTTGGCTGTCGAACGACCCTTTCACAGGGGTCGCCTAAGACCATCCTGCATATCAGATATTTACATTACGATTCATAACAGTAGCAACATTACAGTTATGAAGTAGCAACGAAAATAATTTTATGGTTGGGTCACAACATGAGGAACTGTATTTATTTTTTTAATGTATTTTTATTGATTTCAGAGAGGAAGGAAGAAGGAGAGAGAGATAGAAACATCAACAATGAGAGAGAATCATTGATCGGCTGCCTCCTGCAAGCCCCCCACAGGGGATGGAGCCCACAACCTGGGCATGTGCCCTTGACCGGAATCGAACCTGGGACCTTTCATTTCGCAGGCCGACACTCTATCCACTGAGCCAAACCGGCCAGGGCAGGAACTGTATTTAAAGGGCCAGAAGGTTGAGAACCACTGAATGCAGACAACTGTGATATCTTCCCACCCGCATCCCTTTCTCATTGTCCTGTGGGGAGAAAGACGGAGAAACACGAGATAAATTCAACCACTCATTACATATTTGCTGAGAGCCTCTGCGTGTCAGGCACAGTCCTAGGGAGTAATTGACAAACTCTAGTGAACAAAGGGATTCCTGGGGGAGCTTACACCCTGGAGATGGAGACGGATGATAAACATTAGACATCATGAACAAACTGAATAGGACGCATGCAACCTTCCTGCCCGACTTGTTCTTGCAGCTCTCAGTGTAAGTCCTGCCTGCTCTGGAACTGGGAGGAGGGACGGAACGGTACCAGAGGTCCTGGTGGTGCTGTTTCTCCTACCGTGTGTGCTGCTGGAAGCTGCCACCCGAGCCTGCCTGCGGGTTGTTTGTATACATCACATCTCTTCATGGCAAGAGACTCCACGTGTGAGTGTGTGGTGTTAGCAGACTTGGCAAGGAGAGAGACTTGCACTGGAAGTCCTTGGTATTAATCACTTCATTAGTTCCCCACTCAAAGTGAGGCTCTGGATCCTGGAGAGTCATGTAACCTAGTGCCAGCATTGGGGTGGGGTGGGGAACTGAACTGAATGTTATGCTTGGCAATATTTGAAAATAATGCTAAAGAGTATCTAGCTGATGTTTCTTTCTCTAAAACTTAGTTAAGCCCTAACCGGTTTGGCTCAGTGGATAGAGCGTCGGCCTGCAGACTGAAGGGTCCCAGGTTCGATTCCGGTCAAGGGTCCCAGGTTCGATTCCGGTCAAGGGCATGTACCCAGGAGGGGGTGTGCTCTCATCGATGTTTCAAACTATCCCTTTCTCTTCCTCTCTGTAAAAAATCAATAAAATATATATTAAAAATCAATAAAATATATTTTAAAAAAAAGAATTAAAAACCAATTGAGTGTCTACTACGTATAGGACATTGTAGAATATATCAAGATAAATGATATATAACCTTTGTCCTCAAAGAGTTTTTTAATTCAGTGTAAGGAACAAATATGCATGCAAATAATGACAATACAACGCACAACACGCTAGTTCAGTTCTGTGAACATCCACTGAGAGCTCATCATGAGCCAGCCCTGTGCTAGAACAAGAACAGAAAATATCACGAGAGCACAAAGGAGCAAACAGATTCATTCTGACAAAGAAGATCGGGAAAACATTCTTGGAGGAAACAGCACATAATCCAACCACAACCAGTAAGTGATGGAGCTGGGCTTTGCTTCCAAGCAGTCTAAGTACACTCCCATAAACGCTATGCTCTACCACCTCCCAGGATGTGCAGGTGGAGGTCAGGAAGCACCATAGAGGTAAGATAGTGCAAGCAGTCAGGTGTGACTACCAGGGTTTCTCAATCCTAGCTGCACATTGAGACTTAGGGAGGAGGCTCAGCTGGTTGGAGTGTTGTCCCACACACCAAAATGATTGCGGTTCAATTCCTGGTCAGGACAAATAACTAGGTTGTGGGTTCCATCCCGTATGGGAGGCAACCTATCAATGTTTCTCTCACATCAATGTTTCCCTCTCTCTAAAAATCAATGAACATATCCTCGAGTGAGGATTAAAAAAATACTTTAGGGAGAGCTTTTAAAAATGCCAATACCCAGGTCTCATCCCCAGAAATTGCTTCCCAGGTAGTACTAAAGCACAGCCAGGGTGGAAATCTACCGGACTAGACTATCGGGGGGCAGGGCTTGAAAGGCAGGCTGGAGGTTGAAGTCCCAGGTTAAAATTACGCATCCCGACTTTATTCCAAGGGCAAAGCAGAGGCCTCTGGGTAGGAGAGTGATAGGATCAGGTGTATTTAGGATAATTATTCTGAGAGCAGCATGAAGGATGGGCTTGAAGGTAAGAACTGCAGTTAGGATAGCGATGCTTGCCATCCCAAAGAGAAGTGAGGAAGAACTGGTTAAGGGCAGTAGACATGTACAGGAAGAGTCATATATGAGACATTGCAGAGTAAATTCAACAGAGCCTGCTGATCAGTTGCAGTGGTTCTCAACCTTCTGGCCCTTTAAATACAGGTCCTCATGTTGTGACCCAACCATAAAATTATTTTCGTTGCTACTTCATAACTGTAATGTTGCTACTGTTATGAATCTTAATGTAAATATCTGATATGCAGGATGGTCTTAGGCGACCCCTGTGAAAGGGTCGTTCGACCGCCAAAGGGGTCGCGACCCACAGGTTGAGAACCGCTGAAAAGGGAAAGGATGACAAAGAGGGAAGAGTAGAAGGTGACTGGTGCTTTCAGTATGAGAGGGAACGCTGGAGAAAAAGTGGATTGAGGGAATGAGGAGATGACCATGGATTTGTTTTCTGTCGTATGCAGTTCGAGATTCCTGAGGAACTAAATGGGAAGTTGGAAATCTGAGTCTGTAACTAAGGAGAGAGAGCTAAGCTGGAGATCATTGAAACAGAGGTGATACCTGAAATGTCAGCATTTGGTTGAAACCACTAAGGAAGGGAATGTCTGGACCTGCATTCATGTCTGAGAAATAAGAGGGCTTTGGAGAACACCTGAACTTGGGGGGCAGGTGAGGAAAAGACAAATGCCAAGAAGACAAATGAAGAAGCCAGGGCAAGAACATGAAAGAAGAAAACAAGAAGGCACAGGAGCAAGTGAGAAGAGAGTTCCAAGGGAGTGAAAAATCAATAATATCAAATAAGTAGCTGAAGAAGTAGCAGCTTTTGTCTTTGGTCATTGGATGGCAGTTAATAAAGTGGAAAGAGTGGAAGCCACACCACAGCAGACTGGACAATGAGGGGGAGATGAGAGAGCAAATGTAAAGTTTTCTACCAAGAAGTTGTGGAGAAGAGGAGAAATGAATGGAACCGTAAATAAAAGGCAGCAGGTCAAGGGAAATAAGGTTTGTTTTGCGTACAGGGGTGGGCAAAAATAGGCTTACAGCTGTAATACAAATAAATAATACAATCTATACTAATAAAAGGATAATATGCTAACTAGATGGGGAGACCTTCCAGGAGACCTTCCGGACATCCTTCTGGACAAAGCCATGGTGGGCCGAGGCAGAGGCAGTTAGGGGCGATCAGGCCAGGAGGGGAGGGCAGTTGGGGGCGAGCAGGACAGCAGGCAGAATGGTTAGGGGTCACCAGGCAGGCAGGTGAGTGGTTAGGAGCCAGCGGTCCCGGATTGCAAGAGGGATCCCAGATTGGAGAGGGTGCAGGCCGGGCTGAGAAACAATTCCCTCCCCCCTCTCCGCCCCCGTGCACAAATTTTGTACACCGGGCCACTAGTACTTAATAATACAAGAACAAACTGTTTCATGTACTCACCACTGTAAACCTACTTTCGCTCACCCCTGTATGTGGATAGATACAACTTGAAGTTAACAAGATGGACTCCATTCCCGAAAGGGACTAATTCAAGAAAACTTATGGGAAGAGAAAGGTTCTTCATCCCCAGAAACAAGAAAGAAGGAAGTCAAGTTGGAGAGAGGCACCCTAGGAAATTCTGCCAGACTGGAAGGGAGCTAGCTACTTGAGTTGATGACAGGCAGGCCTGTTTGCTCAGATAATTGGAACCTTAAGAAGAGCGGGAAATGTCTGGGACTGCATAGAGAGAAGGCAGTAGAGAGAGAGTCAACTAGAGAAGAAAACAAAGAAATTAAAAAAAAATGCCCTGGAGGACCCACCAAGGAATTTCCTTGTAATATGTAAAAGCTGTCATATGACATGTTGAAGTGGTAACACCGCCTGCTGCTGTCTATACTGTGTTCCATGTGCGTGAATCTTGCAAGTAGTTACAGGAAAAAAGTTGCCTGTTCCAAGCAGCTTACACCAATGACCTGAAGCACGAGGCAAATAAACTCTTCTGATGTTAACGAGCCATGGAATACCATTTAGTGTTGAAACCAGGTTGCACCGATCCTTTTTGATCTGGTAGTTAACTATTATCATTACGTGTGGTGGAGTCATTCTTGGGCCCTGAGCAGAGACTGCCAGAGCTTCCACGTGAGAGTAAAACACTCTATCAAAATCATGAGATTGGCTAGAAAACCACCCCAGAAAGACACAGCCTAGCGAAGCCAAACTGCTAAAATGTGACCGCAATTCTGAACTACAGCCGAGAAAAGCCCGAGAGATGCCGCATAGCCACACCTGGGCCCGCACCCGCTAAGGGCGCGGACCTCGGAACCTGCGGCGCCAGGACTCGGGGGCAGAGCGAGGGGCTCCTGCTTCGGCCACGGACGGGCACGCCCCGGGGTCTGGGGTCACTGCTCTCAGACAAATACAAGTTTTTTGACGAAACCCGAGAAAAGCCTCTCCCATCCCCTCCCCTGTTCCCCAAGGGCACGGAGCGGCAGAGTCGGCGGGACACCGGGTCAAGGGACAGTCAGACCGACCGCAGCCCCTCCCGGGCCGCGCCCCTTGGTGTTCTGACTGCGCCTGCGCGTGATCCCCCTCCCCACCCCCACCCCCACCCTCACCCCGCGGCGTTCGCGGCGAGAGGCGGGGCTGCGCGCGCACGCGCTCGCGTCTCCAGGCAACGGGCATAACAGGGGCCAGCTGCGGGCGCCTGCGCGGCCGGCGGTGAGTGGAGGGGTTTGGTGCCGGGATTTCCCCTGAGCTGGAGTTGTCTCTGACAGCCAGGTACGCGGAAGGGCGGGGAGACATGGGGTCAGCCCCTCGCCCTCCCAAGGGCCCGATGGACAAAATGAAGGCTTGTCTCCAAAGCGGAGCCCCCAGTGGGGACGCCCCGGCTGACCCTCCAGGACAGAGTGTGACTTCCGTGTTCCGGACCTAAAACCCGCGGCGGTCGGGTCAGGTGCCCCTCATCCCCCCTTTTCAGGTTACGAACCTCCCGCCGCTGGGACTCCTTGGGTGAGGGTTTGACGGCCAGGCACCTGCTGCAGGCCCCGTGCGGCTGCTCTGCTCCTTGGAGTCGAGCGCGGACCCAGCGGGAGGGAAGCCCTGAGAGCTCTGTGGGCCGGTCACTACCTCCGGCCGCAGTTTTCTCACCTGTAAAATGATGGGGCTGGACTTGTAGTCTTAAGGCCCCTAAATTACAGCCATGTAACTGAGCCAACTCCTCCGTTTATGGTGGAAACATTGGAGCCAGCAAGGGGAGGTGGCTTGTCCTGTGTTGCAGAACGAAAACCTGACTTCCAATCCAACAGCTCTTCCCAGTAGCGCTTTGCACCCATATGGAGTATATACTGTGTGTGCCAGGAGCACCCCTCTGTACAGCGGAGGCTGGTCCCGGGATCGGGGAAAGGTAGGTGGCAGGAACACCTGTAGCACATTCGTTTTTCTATCTTCAGGACCTGATGAGCATTCACAGGACTAAATAAGCCCTCACCTAACGCTTACGGAAGGAGAGCTCTGGCAGACCCAGCACCACTGTCCCTAAAAGGCTTAAAGGAAAACGTGGGTGGGACACACGTAGAAACAGTTGCTTTAATGACCAAGGTGAACTCAGAAAAAAACTTCTCACCTGTATCTGGTTTAAACCTCCTCTAGGCTTCAGTCCAGACCCTGAATGGCTGATCTCCACTTGGCACCACCTCTGCCTGTGGGTGTAATGCTCCCGCATAATAAAACAAAAGCTCCCGGGCTCCACGCAAGTAAGCAAGACCCCTATGAAAAAGGTGACTCTCCCCAGCTGACCTCAATGGGGCACCTGAGGCATCATTCCCAGGAGAAGCTTTTGAGCAACAAAGAGCTGACGCTGAATCATCTCTACCCTCACTCCAAACGGCACACCTGTGAGAGAGCTGGGAGCTGCTTCTGTGCCCACCGTGCTGCACTCAGCCAGCAAGAGCCAAAAAGCCACCTCCAGAGCCAAGCCAAGGATTTGTTTTACTCATCAGGCCCTCAGTCCCGGTACCCCAAAGCAAATAACCATGAATTCATCCCCTTTACAAAGAAGCGAGTTGGAGTGGACCGGGCATACCCACTGAAACCTGTGTTCCACAGGAAGTCTCATAGTACAGGTGAGACTGGCATGGATGGGGACCAAGACGTCTCTCCAAGACCCCCTGAGCCAAGGGAGTTGTCATACAGAGGCTTTGGTTTGAGGAACTGGGCCGGCTCATCTGTGGTTGGTACTGTTGCTGCCAGGCAGGGGGAGAGGACCATGGCAAACCCCACCCGGACCGAGTGGCTGCAGATCCAAAGACTAGAAGCTGCAGGGGAGAATTTAGAGGAGGAAATTCGAAGAAAAGAGACCCTCTTACGGGAAAAGCTGAAGAAGACAGAAGAAGAACTCAGAAGGATCCAGAAGGAAAAAGAACAGGCTGAGGAAAATGAAAAAAGAGAGTTCCAGAGACTGACACTGCCCAGGAGGAGACTTAAAGGTAATAGCAACACCACGTACAGACCTGTCTTCTCCCCAGACTATGGCTCTAAGGAGGTCTTCAGTGGAGAGGAGGAAACCTGGGGAGGGTCTCAAGAAAATCGTAGTCCATTCCAGTTCTCTGGTTATGGGATGCAGAAGCTCAAAAGGGAAAGACTAGTGGCAAACAACAACAAAATCCGAGACCAAGCCTCGGGGCAGGTGAAGGAGAAGTGTCCTCAGCCTACAGAAGCGCCAGGCAGCCATTCTAACTGGTCTAGGGCACCACACTCCTCAGGTTCCAGCTGTTCCACCGAAGAGCCAGAACTGGGCAAATGCAGCCACTGTGGACGCAACTTTCTCTTGCTCAGGCTGGAGAGACACTCCAACGTCTGCAGCAGGATGCAGGGTTCCAAGAGGAAAGTGTTTGACTCCTCCCGGGCCCGGGCCAAGGGCACAGAACTAGAGCAGTACTTGAACTGGAAGGGACCAGCCTCAGCCAAGGTAACAAGGACCTTACGGATTTGACCTTGAGTGGGGATCATTGTAAGGGCCTGTTATAGCCTCATTTGGTGTTTGTTTTTTTAAGAAAAAATTTAATTGTTATAAAGGGAGAAAATGAGAATTAACATTTATTGGTTATTACTGTGAACAGGAGTTTCATACGACCCCCACCACAAACGTGAGGATTTTATGATCTCTTAGCAATTCAAAAATCAAGTCTCAGAGAGGTCAACTTGAATGAGATCACAAACAGCTTTAAGTGGCAGTCAGAATATAAAACTGGGTTGGAATGACTCCAAAATCTTGTCATTTGTTGTTGTTGTTAATCCTCACCCCAGGATATCTAAAGGAAATTTATCACTTTCATGTAATTTATCACTCTTTTATTATAAAAGTGATAAACATTTACTTTTAGAAAATTTAAAAGAAAAAAACTATTCTGCATTTCACTACCTTGAGAGAATTCCTTTCACTTTGCAATATACTTTGCCACCTTCCAAGATTAGAATCTGTTACTACTCCTATAACCACATCTACTTTTTCAAGATTAGCTCAGTTTTTATATACCTTCTAAGTAAAATACATGAAACACAATTAAGTTTGGAATTCTTCTCTCCATTTAGAGTGTAAACACCTTAAAGGTGAATGACTTTATTTTTGGTTAACATTTCCAGCTGCAGAAAACCTAGGTTGTAAAAAGTAAGGACTTTGGGACATTTCCATGATAAGCTTAATTTTAGAGAGAGGAAGGGATGAAGGGCGGGAGGAAGAGTGAGAGAGAGAGAGAGAGAGAGAGGGAGAGAGAGAAACATCAATTTGTTGTTCCACTTATTTATGCATTCATTGGTTGATTCTTGTGTGTGTCCTGACCCGAGATCAAACCTGCAATCTTGGTGTATAGAGACAATGCTCTAACCAACTGAGCTATCTGCCAGGGCACTCCTCTAGTGGTTTATTTCTGGCCAGAATGTAAAAGAATTGTGTGTTTCTTAAATTCCTAAATACAGTAGCAGCGAAGCAAAAGATTTGGGTGTCTGGGATCAGATACCCTTGCTTTGTGGAAACTAGTTTGGGGGAATATGTTGCCTCGAGGACACCAAGGCAGAAAGGATCTGCACTGAGGTGCACTCCCCTCCTTGGAATGTCCTGTCTTATTCCCAAAGTTTGTGCCCTTAGAAGCTGAGTGGTTTGTGTCTCCCTCTCATTCTTCTAGTGCAGTGGTCGGCAAACTGCGGCTCGCGAGCCACATGCGGCTCTTTGGCCCCTTGAGTGTGGTTCTTCCACAAAATACCAACTTCTGCGCATGGGCCATGAAGTTTCAATCGCACTGTACGTGCGCGCCCGCATATGGTATTTTGTGGAAGAGCCACACTCAAGGGGCCAAAGAGCCACATGTGGCTCATGAGCCGCAGTCTGCCGATCACTGTATCTAGTGTATTCAGAAGAACAGGTGATTTTTCTGATATCGTTTAATATTCATGTAACTTTCAGTATACTCATACCTCTTGTCTCTCTACTGGACCATAAGCATTTGAGCATAGAGGCCACATTTTGGTACTTTGTGATTGTGCTAATTGGATAAAATGTCAAAACAACAAAGAATATAAATATAAGTATCATATAGTTGACAAACTTTTCTCTAATTCAATTCCTGGACACCACCTCCAACACAGATTCTCTTGCCTTCTTGTCTGTTTCAGTAAGACTCTCCTGATGGATCCTTCCTTTTCCTTCGATAACATCTCTTCCTAGTATTCATCATTAAGGAGGTGGCATCACTTGCCTTCTTTTTAAGATTTTTATTTTAGTCTAAATATTTGAATACATTTTTATAACCATGTAGTACTGCCATTGTAGTGGAATTGCAATTTTGCGTTAAACCAGTGGTCAGCTTTTACATTATAATAACCACATATATTTTGTTCACTGATGAGTGAACAAATTCTGTCCTGCCCACATGCACCTGGAGGTAATTGACTCATTTTCAAATGTACCTTATCTCTATAAATTTTTTTTAATGATTCACCTGATGTCAGACACCTGCTACTGTTTTTGTAATTGTTCAAACACCTCTCACAGTCTTATCAGTTTGATTTTTTAAATTCTGGAAACCTCCCTCTGACCACTCTTTTCCCTCCTGCTCTAGTCTGCACTGGTTATTTCCACACCTGGTGCAGCCCTGTTGTCTTGGGACTTCTCTTTGCTTCTCCGCGGCGTTGGGTCCCATTTCCAGCATCCGTGTCTTCCTTCTTCTTGCTATACTCCTTGCCTTGTGGGAGTTCACTAAGAAAGATGCATGGGAGACATATTTTTGTCTTGGAATGAATGAAAATATCTGTCATAGCCTTATAATTTGATGACTTGGCCAGGTATAGAATTCTTGATGGAAAATGAGTTTCTGTTCAGATTTTTGAGGCATTTTCCCACTAGTGTTTAGCATCCAATGTTACGGTTGAGAAATCTGATGCCATTTTGATTTTTGCTCCATTATAGAAAATCATCCTTTTTTATTTTTCTAAAATCTTACAGGATTTTAAATTCTGAAATTCTGGTTTTATATTATGTTGGATACTTGGTAGGCTATTTCAATCTTAAGAGTAGTGACATTTAACTCTAGGAATGTTTATGGTATTAATAATTTCCTCCTCTTGCCTTCTTTGTGTTTTTTGTTTGTTTTTGGAATGCCTATTGGCCAGATGTTGGACTTCCTGGATTGAGTTTCTAATTTTTCAATATTATGTTTTCTACTTTCCATCTTGATCTTTCCCATTCTGCATAATCTTCTTGACATTATTTTGTAACATTTTATTTTCAGCTATCAGTTTTAATTTATAATAGTTCTAAAACATTTATATTGATTTTTAGATAGAGTGGAAGGGAGAGGGAGAAACATTGATGAGAGAGAAACATTGATTGGCTGCTACCTACATGCCCCCTACTGGGGATTGATCCCTGACCAGGAATCGAACAGGTGACCTCTTGGTACATGGGATGATGCTCAACCAACTGAGCCACACCTGCCAGGCCTTTCTGGTCTTTATTCCTTTTCCATAATGTATATATTATTCTCATTTTTGGTCACAATTTCCTCTAATACTCCTTTGTTGATACTATGGTATTTCATTTAAAAAATGTTTTTTCTTGGTACCTGCTTTGTTGCTGCTTCCTGAGTGTGTGTGTTTGCTTGTATACTTGTTTTGGTCTCTCTCATGTTCGAGCTTACTCAAATATCTGGTAATACTTGGCTGACCATTCATATTTAAGCTTAAGTGGGCTTGTTGAGTAAGGATCTTCATATTAGGGTTATCAAATAGTGAGTCTTTTATTTATTTATTTATTTAATTAATTTTTTTATTGCTTTAAGTATTACAAAGGGTATTACATATGTGTCCTTTTTTAATTTATTTTTTAAAAAAAATATATTTTATTGATTTTTTACAGAGAGGGAGGGAGAGGGGTAGAGTTAGAAACATCGATGAGAGAGAAACATCGATCAGCTGCCTCCTGCACACTCCCTACTGGGGATGTGCCCGCAACCAAGGTACATGCCCTTGACCGGAATCGAACCTGGGACCCTTGAGTCTGCAGGCTGACGCTCTATCCACTGAGCCAAACCAGTTAGAGCAAATAGCGAGCCTTTTATTTTATTTATTTATTTATTTTTAAATATATTTTATTGATTTTTTACAGAGAGGAAGGGAGAGAGACAGAGTTAGAAACATCGATGAGAGAGAAACATCGATCAGCTGCCTCCTGCACATCTCCCATTGGGGATGTGCCCACAACCCAGGCACATGCCCTTGACCGGAATCGAACCTGGGACCCTTCAGTCCGCAGGCCAATGCTCTATCCACTGAGCCAAACCAGTTTCGGCAAATAGTGAGCCTTTTAATTGCTGTCCCCCAGGGCTAGTGTCTGATGGCTTTTCTCTTGCCTGCTTGGCACATCCAGAGAACCCTTCAGTCTCCTAAGAAGGTGCCCATTTGTTTGGCACCCTGGGAGCCAAGTGAGGGAAGGAGGCTGACGGTTCCGCAGTTCATCATGTACACTTGTACTTGCTCCCTATTTTCAGCCCCAAGATTAACCTTTTCCCCCCTGTGCCTGGATTTCGTGAATCTGACACCTGTCAGGTTCAATTTCTCCAGAGAATAAACTCCTGTTCTCCTGTGAGGGTGTGGATGTGCAGGGTGGGATAGCAGCCCTGGGTCCTGGCACTTTCCAGCCCCGAGGCTCTCCAGGTCTTTGCTGGGGATCATGGCTTGCTTCTCGGTACTCATCCCCCTTTGCAGGCCCTCAGTGTAAGTGCCTCCACGCAGGCAAGTCAGGATTGACACTGTTTCCTTACCGTCATTCTAGTGGAGACTCGGGAGATGAGATAAATGCCACGTTGAATGATTGGTCTGCCTTCTACTTATAGGCTGAAGCTCCTCGGAAGAGCAACTGGAGACAGAAGCATGAATCCTTCATCCGTACTCTCCGCCAGGCTCGAGAGGTCCAGCGGGTAATTGCCAAAGGTGGAAACCCCTCAGACTTGCCTCCCATCCCGCCTGCAGAAAATCCAGACTATATTCAGTGTCCTCACTGTAGCCGTCACTTTGCTCCCAAGGTGGCTGAGCGGCACATTTCCAAGTGCAAGACCATCAAGAACCGTCCTCTGCCTCCAAGGAAGCATTCCAGTTGAGCAGACAACAGTGGAAACCTCCTCAGTCGTAACAGAAAGCTCTGCTTCTCTTGAGCAGTACGTAGGAGTAGAATGATTTGATGCAAAGCAGGAAGAACTAGAACTTGTACATCTCCCAGATCGGCCTGCAGAGCTGAACTCAGGGAGGAGAAACCCACTGCTAAGCAGCAGGAGGCAGAAGGAAGTCTCAGCCTCCCACTGAATTACCACCTCAGGCTGGTGTGCCTCATGTTACTGCCCTAAGAACTGATGGGTGAAGACAGTTAAGAGTGGCGAGCAGGCTACATTAAAGCTATCTTCTCAGGAGCTGGCTTGTGGTTTGTGCTAGCTAAGTGCCTGCATCTGCTTGGCCTCCTTGCCACTGCCTCTGCATGTTTGGCGATGGCTCCTGTTAACTCTTCTCGTTCTTGCGAGAAGTTGGCTCATTCGCATGAGTTGGTGTCAGAGGATCCAGGTCACCCAGATGATATCTCATAAAAGATAATACGATTTCGATATAAGGCAAATGGAAGTCTGTCCTTGACCTCCTTGGTGCATGGTCCTGGCTAAAAACCAATACAAGTATGTAAGGTGAGAGTGCCAATACATCCTAAACCCTCCCTATGGTGTACTGTGTCATAAAGGGAACCTCATCTTCATCTACGTCATAGGGTAGGGATGGGGGAAAACACACTATATATCTCTGTAGTTCTTTTCTAATGTCAAAGAAGGGGAAGAAACTTCAGTTTCAGCTATTGCTAGCACTCTGCTTTCAAATGAGGTTGGTAAGTTGGCTGGATGGCATTTCAAATGAAGCAGCAAAATGTACCATCAAAGCAAGCTGTACATTGCTACGTACATGTCCCCGCTGACTATACCACCCACAGGCAACTTCTTTTTTAGAAAGCAAACTTTGACGGAAAAGGTACCAGGTGTTTTTCATTTCCTCTGTGCAGAATCATGCCTAGTGCAAGGAACCTTTATAATTAGACCCTCAATAAATGGGTTTGTGGGATTTAAAATTAAACAATGAGCCCTCAACTTGCCAAGTGGGAGCAGTGATGAGGTGAATCTGACAGGGTAGTATCAGCTCCGATAGGATGAAGCTAGCATAACAGACCTGAAATACCAGTAGGGTTATTGTCCTGAGAGCATTCACTCCAATTATTAGTTTAAAATACTGGAAAAAAGTCACCCAACCTGACCCGGGCAAAGAGGACTAGGCACACAACAAAACCGTATTTTACTCAACAACAGATGGCCACTCACTCCTGTTTCATTTCCACTGCAGCTTCTGCTGAGTGGCTGGGCTAACAGATCAAACCCCTTTGAAATGTGAGTTTAAGACTCTAGCTGTGAAGCTACAGGACACTAGGCTGAAAAAAAATTACATATTTTAAAAACAGCATATATTGCTTGTTTTATGCTTTTAACTGTTGCAAAGAAAAAAGTATCACATAACAGGGCTTTCAGTTGGCCACTTAAAGAAGCCTCACATACACACTGGATATTTAATCCAACATAGACATTCCCCAGGCAAGTTTAACAAGGTCCACTTTGTTTCATACTTGATGGTAAAAACAATAGATGGCAAAAATGGGCTGTGGCCAATGTTACTAAGTGGTGGCCTGTGGACTGCTTTGCCCCACAGTTTATTTGCTGGCACAGCACTAAAAATATAACCTGGCATTTACAAACTGGGATATGGAGCATCTCTTACATAACTAGAAGTTCTGGAAAGACCAGGCCAGCCACCCTGCACAGCACTCATTGAATGAGGCTCAGAACCAGTTGCTCCTTGACAGGGGAGAGCATTCAGATCACCACAGGCCCTCTTATGTGCCTTATCTGTCTGGCCCCACAGGCACTGGGCTGGGGATCCCTGCATGATTATTAAGGTCACAGATCAGGGCCCTCCGGGGAGAATATAGTATGTGTGTGTGTAGGGGGCAGGGTGCTTTCTAGAGACACAGGAAGCAATTATTCACTATGTTGCTAGAGAAATAAAACAATAGTCAATGTCTTAATGTTCCCTTCAATCGCAACATGCTTAGGCCTTGATTATGTCAGTCTTTTAAATTTAGCTTGTTCTGATCTTTGGGAAGAGGTTGGAAACCTTTTTCTAAGTCTCTTCCTGGGTAGCAGAGAATGATGTGTGGAGAAATCAATGCTGCTTGTTAGTCTGTCAGTGATGGCGAACCTATGACACGCGAACTCATTTTTTTGGTTGATTTTTCTTTGTTAAATGGCATTTAAATATATAAAATAAATATCAAAAATATACATCTTTGTTTTACTATGGCTGCAAATATCAAAAAATTTCTATATGTGACACGGCACCAGAGTTAAGTTAGAGTTTTTCAAAATGCTTACACGCCGAGCTTAAAAGGTTCGCCATCACTGGTCTATGTATTATACTACTTCATCCAAGAACCTTTAGTGCATGTAAATGTTATAAATTATAAAGTTCAAAGGTTAAGCAGTGGGAAAAATCTCATAGTTAACTCACTGTGTGCAGACATGGTAACATGCTGCTGCTTAGCAGTGGTGTATTTAAGGCAGCACAGTACCTTTTGGCCAGCATTTTTTTTTTTGTCATCAATTTACAACTTCACAACTGCACAGGAGGTAGCTGAGATGTGATACAGTGTTTATCTCCCAAATGTTATGATTCTATGAGGTTTAGTGATCAGTATGTTTATTTCCATAGTTAGTTATCGAAGCAATAAATGATTTTTGGCTTTGCAGCAGGGAGGAACATGTTTTGTAGCCCTGACTACAGCCCACTCTGCCCTGACACTATCATGAATAATACTTCTTTATAGGCCCAGGGATACTTTTTTGAAAGAATTTATTTACATCTTTGCTGCAGAGTTGGTCTATTATGAATGTTTCCAAATATATGGCAAACCAAATGAAATGTGAGTTTAAGGCTGCTTTTGCTTTACACGCTAGTGAAATGCTCATCCAAGAGAAGTTGTAATGTGGCTGTGCTATGCCAGGGAGACCAAAATACAGTTCACCCGCTTTGAGGAAAACCAGTTTTATAAACATAAATGGCATTATCACTTGAAAAAGCCCACTGTGATCAGGGAGGCAAGTACAAGAAGTGATTCTTCCTCCTCTAATGGCTTATTTTATTCTCCCTCTGCACTTCAAGCACAGTATTTCAGAAGGTTTTTTTTTGGGGGGGGGTGGAAGGGGAGCTGTAACAGCAGAAATGATTCTTTTAGCAAGAAATTGGAAGGAGGAAAAGATTATTTCTGTGCAAATGTCCCTTGCATTGTTTCTGTTACCAATGAATTAAAAGATTCACGAAGGCCTGGAATCTGAGTGTTTTATCCCCAGTGACAATGTCCATGCACAGACTTACTAAGGCATAGCACTGATTGAGAGTTTAAATGTTTATTTAAAATAGAAATGCCAAACCACTCCACCCTCAACCTTTCAAACATCTGGCCAACAATAAGCTAGTTCTTCAGCAACAATGTCAGAGCAGAGGAATAACTCAGGTTATACTGTAACTCAAAAGCAATACTACGGAAAACTTAAAACACCTAGCACTGTATAGAGAAGTAGAGAATTACAGAAAACCATTCAAAGACATTTCTGCTACCTCACTTTTCACTTTTTATCTAAGCATGGCTGCCACCTTTGAACTGGTTTCTGTTTGCATAGCTGTTTGGTGGAGAAAATACGGCTGTCCCAGGCACAATTTGGGAAAGTGCAATTGTTTCTAAGGCACAGAATTTAGATTCTCAGCCAGATTCATAGCAAACCTAGGTTTCCCAAGGGAACATGCTAGAGAAAATGACCACAGCATTCCACTGCTAGAGAGTAACTCCCCTCCGGAACAAGGACAGGGGTCTCACCCTCCCTTCAATGCTCACTTCCATCCCCCAGTCTCAGCAACGTCCCATGTTCCTCAGATCCATAGCAGAAGCAACACTCATGATTAACACCCAAACTGACCCTGCCTCTCAGGCCTGCTGAGATGGTAAGCATGAGGGACACAAGAACGTGAAAGGCCAGTCAGTCCTTTAAGAAAATCAAAGTTGCATTTACATGATGAATCAAAACCCATTATTAGGGTGTATAGCAAACCCCAAGTCCCTAGAATTTGTAGCTTAATCCAGGGTTGGCCCCTTCCCTTATTTTAAGAAAAGGCTTCAGTGATTACATTAGTACCATTGTACTAGACTTCCCAGAATTGAGAAAACAATGGGAACATCAAACCAAAGAAGATCCCATTGGACAGAGTTGCCCATCCCCAGCTATGGGGTTTTCCCGGAACATCAGCCTTTACATCATCAGTTTTAGGGAAATGACAACATTTCCATTGCACAGATCCTTCCAAAATATTAAACAGACATCAAACATTTATGTTTTGGTTTAGGGAAAAGGAAATAAAACAATGTAGCTGTTTCTAGGAAGGTAGGATGTGAAACTCTTCAAGGCGGCCCGTGAACCTTTCACAAGGCTAGGTGGAGATACCAAGCTCACACCCTAAGTAAAATCATCAAACGCTCTAGGACACTTTCTTTGGGAAAGCCAGCTTGCTCCGGTCTATAAGGACATGACTACAGGATTAGAAGGGAGCTCAGCCAAATTCCTTTCACTTGGCAGGTTCTACCTGTTCTGTTAGGCTTCAGGGACTACCAGGTTTGGGGGCTGGCTTTGGGCCACTCAAGTAGGAAAGATGATACAGATTCACTGATATGGCGTCATAAACACCAAAGGGGAGAAAATACTGACTAGACATATAGAAAGGGAATGTGGATGGGGCTGCCGATGTCAAGATCAGAACCGTAAGAGCCATGAGGGCAGAGGCATAAGAGGCTGCCTGGACGGAAGACTGTCACTGCCGGCCTCTCAAACATGCAAGCAGAGGCAGCTAGAGGACTTCCTCTCCCTCATGGTTTTCCCTTAAGGCCACTCCTACTGCCTGACTGGCTCAATTCTCTACAAGCCACCTCATCTCTCAGAGGCATCTTCCAAAGCTAGGAAAGCCCACCCTGCACTGGCCACAGCTGGACACTCCAGCTGTGTGATGAGGAGGGACCTGCCCTTCTTTTTCTACTCCTCACCGAAGAAATTTCAATCAACCTCAGAGGAAAAGCAACTGAAGCCCATTTTTCCTCCTAAAGCATTGAGCTGCACGATGTAACTGAACTTTCTGAAAACTGGCCCAAGAGACTGACTCCACCAGTCTTTCCTGGACTCAGGACTCCTGAGAGGGCTCAGAGCACTTCAACTCTCTACAGATGACCCTGGGGGGCCCCACCTGGTTCCAGCCCACTCCAACTTCACACTTTTCCCTCCTCCACCCAGAGGTGCAATGCCTGGTGTTGAATTTCCAAGGCAGCTTCCAATGAACGGTGAAAATGATAAATGGGATATAAGCTGCTACCAGCAAAATTAAGGTGAGCATTGTGTCTCCTCTTCAAAGGTGGGATCACCAGATGAGGTACAGAGCTGCTGTTGCTATGGCAGTCACTGAGGACCAAGCCAGGGCCACGGGGCCCTTCCATTCTCCAAAACAAAACCACTCCTAGATCCTATCTAATAGGCAATGCCACTCTCCAAGTGTATGTGGAAAGTGCTTCAGAGCCTCCGCCTTCGCTCCTTGTCTGCAAGTGAACAAAGCCAGGAAAGCGCGCTCTGCATTCAGTAAGTGTGCTGTGAAGTTCTCTGGATCCCAGTTTCCTGGAGGCTATACAGGCTCAGGAGACTAGAGGCTGGGTGGTCGACAGGAATCTGTTCCCAGGAGGCACCAGGAATCTGAATCTAAGTCAGGCTTTGGATCCATTTCCATCTCTTCCTTTGCCGTCTGAGTTCCTTTGGAATGCATTCCCATCTGTCCAGATAAAACACAGTTCCACATTAACACTACTGCTACCTATCATGGCAGTTCAGGACTAGATTTTCAATGTCAAACTCTAGGGATTTGTGGCCAGAGTATTGTGAGAAGTCACAGTACTACCTTAGGTAAAGGCTACCCTTTACATTCGCTGCAGGTAGGAGACAAACTGTCCTGGTCTGTTGCAGACAGCAGGATTTTCTGGGATTCAGAACTCTCAGTTTAAAAACTGAGGCAGCCCTAGGCAAACAACCCTCCAGTTGGCTATAGTTGCCAATCCCCCCATGCTTACCTCTAGTAAGCATTACTTTCCAAAGTATTTTCATAGACATTATTTCATTTAATCCTCAAAACAACCATACAAAGTAGGTGGTATTATTTTTTTAGGTGAGAAACTAGGGCTTATTAAAACAAAGTAATTTGTCCAAACACAAAAAGTTGTTAAATGGCAAAGCCACGGACTGAACCATATTTCCCTATCCTAGTTCACGCTGTACTATGGCTCATTAAAAACAATGCATGCAGCATCACCTGTGAGGGATTTTTACAAAAAATGTTTAACTTAAGCTCTGGCTGGTGTGGCTCAGTTGGTTGAAGCATCATCCTGCATATCAAAAGGTTGCGGGTTTGGGGAGGCAACCAATCAATGTTCTCTCTCACACTCAATGTTTCTCTCTCTCTCCTTTCCTTTCTCTCTAAAATCAGTAAGCATATCCTGAGGTGAGGATTAAAAAAAAAAAAGTTTAACTTAAATTTAACTGTGTCTTGCATCTAACTTCCAGTTTACAGAAATGACGGATGACAAAAGAACAAGTTAAGCAATGCCCCAAGAAAACAAGACAAATCCAGAAATGTGGGACATTCTGTTAAACAACTGACCCTGTTTCTTCAAGTCAATGCCATGGGGGGAAAAAAAAAGTGATGGTGGTGAAGGGAATTCTCTAGATTAAGAGAAACAAGAGACATAACAATGTGATGTGGGGTTTTTGACTGGATTCTGGTCTGATAAAAACAGTTAAGGACACTTCTGTGGAAAACTGGAAAAATTTGAGTATCAATTGGATACTGGATAAGAATTGAGATAATTAGTGTTAATTTTGTTAACTGTGATAATGGTATTGTGGTTATCCAGGAGAATGAATGTCTTCATTTTTGGATACGTTTAAGAAAGAATTTAGGCTATATCATGACTTTTATAATTTACTTGAAAATGATTTATTAAAAGAAAAATAAATACATACACTTTAAATACACACAGATATATACCCACACACATTCTAAACACACACACACACACACACACACACGAAACTAATATGGCAACATGTTAACTATTGTTGAATCTAGATGGTGAATATAAGGGTGTTCACTGAACTGTCATACTTAAAAATTTTCATAATAAGAAGGAAAAGAAAAAACAAAGACTAACAAAAAACACTGGAAGTTAGGTGATAAAAAATCATTCAATCCAGGTGCTTGAACCAGGCCCAGGGCTTCTGGAATTCATTCAAAAAGTTACATCATTAAAAGGTAAGCACTTACAAAAGAGTAAGTATATGTTGGTCCTTTGAATTTTGTTTCTGTGATTCTTCAAAAACAGACTCTGAAATTGAATTATTCTTTTAATGCTTTTACCTGTTGCCCTCCTTCCAACTTCTTGTTCAGCTTCTGTAGTTGGGTAAAAATCTGGAGGTTTTCTTGCTGGAGCTTCTGTTGTTCAGCCAGACACTTTAACACCAGACCCTGCAATCTCTCAACCTCTACCTGCAGAGTGCTGCAGGCACAGGGAGGAGGAATCAATGGTGTTCCCTTCCCAGCACATGTTCCTGCAGGATTCAGCCGAGGTGGCTAAAGAGTGGAGAGAGAGAGGTCACAGGAGGTTCTACCTGGATGCCACAGCTCCCCATTCGAAATTTCCTCTAAGTGCTACCAGATTTTACTTTTAAAATAAGATAAGGCCCAGCTGGTGTGGCTCAGTGGTTGAACATCGGCCCATGAACCAGGAGGTCACAGTTCGATTCCTGCTGGGGCACATGCCCGGGTTTCGGGCTTGATCACCAGAGGGGGGTGTGAAAGAGGCAGCTGATCAATGATTCTTTCTCATCATTGATGTTTCTATCTCTCTCTCCCTCTCTCTGAAATCAATAAAAAGATATTTAAAAAATATATAATAAAACATATACACATGAAGTTCATGCAAGAGAAACAGAAAACAGCCAGGATTACAAGAGCACCTGGCCCTAACATAGTAGGGCAAGCGAACTCTGCCTCAGTCTCCATTATGCTAAGGTAAAAAAACCAATCATCTATTTTGGAAGACTTTGTGAAAACATTTTAAAGTGTACTGATATCTTCCCATTTAAAATGCTGAAATGGGGCTTGGTCAGTGTGGCTCAGTTGGTTGGAGTGCCGTGCCATACAGAAAAGGGTGCTGTTTTGATTCCCATTCAGGGCACATACCCAGGTTGTGGGTTCGATCTCTAGTCAGGGTGCATACGGGAGGCAACCAATCTATGTTTCTCTTTCACATCGATGTTTCTCTCTTTTTCTAAAATATCCTTGGGTGAGGATTAAAAATAAACAAACAAGGAAATAAAATGCTGAGGTGGGGAAGCATAATTTAGTTTGGAACAAGTCTTTCCAATCACAGTGAGGAAACTGTGATCCAAAGGGTCAATATGCATGAAATGTAGCGGATCACACTTTAGAAGAGATGTGAGAGGTGTTCAGTAAACAGGATTCCTAAAACAATTCAAGACTAACTGACAGAGGAATTTAAAGGTTTACCTTAAAGTTTCAAAGGTTGCATTACCTCTTTTGGGGAGCTTTTCAATTTTGCTAGTCTCAACTTTTCTCCCTTCTTCTATTGTACCCTGTTTATAGCATAAGACAGTCCATAGGCCAAATCAGTACTACTGCCTGTTTTTGTGAAGTTTATTGGAATACAAGCATACTCATTATGTATTATCTATGGCTGCTAATGTCAGAGTGGCATAGCTGCTAAAGAGACTATATATGGTCACAAAGCCTTAAATAATTACAATGTGACCCAAAATGTTTGATGACCCCTGATTTAGTTTTATTGAGGTATTTACCACAATTTAATTTCTATCAAGGTTAGGTATTCATGACATGTGTTGGACCTAAGCATTATTTCTTACTTATACAGGGTTGGGCAAAAATAGGCTTATAGTTGTTTGTATGGAAAATAATACAATAATTATTAAATATTTCAAGAACATACTCTGTGCTTCACGTACTCACAACTATAAATCTACTTTTGCCCCACCTTGTATTTTTAAAAATATATATATTTTATTGATTTTTTACAGAGAGGAAGGGAGAGGGATAGAGAGTTAGAAACATCGATGAGAGAGAAACATCGATCAGCTGCCTCCTGCACACCCACTACTGGGGATGTGCCCGCAACCAAGGTACATGCCCTTGACCGGAATCAAACCTGGGACCTTTCAGTCCGCAGGCTGACGCTCTATCCACTGAGCCAAACCAGTTAGGGCCCACCTTGTATTTAAAGCCTCCAACCAACCCTACCAGTATCGTGAAAAATTGGATTTGAATTTTGGAATTTCAATGTTGGCACTTTTGAGGCAGAAAGAAAAGAAAGACAGTTCTCTGCTATAGAAAAGTGTTTGCCTGTCAGCAATGTGAAAGAGTGAACATTTTTTCCAAGACAACTCAGTTTACCCTTCAGTAGAGGCTTTAAGCACTATCAAATAGACAGCACCATGAACTGATACAGAGCAGCCGGAGACCAAAGAAACCAGAGGAGGAGACAGTGAGGCCAAGAGAACTGGGCGGAGCCTGCAGCCACTGTACCTAGTTGAGATTCAAAGGCAAAAAGCTCAGTTACCCAGGCACCTACTGGGGGCTTGTGTTCTGAAGGCGCCTCAGAGGCCACTTTGAGTCCTTGCAGCTCTTCATAGGGCAGGGTATCTTTCTCAGATTCTGGAAAAACTGCACTTAGGGGAGACGGGCTGTCAGGCATGGGGATGAATTCTGCATTTTCCAGCTCCTATGTATATAGAGAGAATCTCATCAGTTCTGTCTGAGCCATTTACTTTATCTCAAACTTCCTTCTTGCTATAAGCTTTCACTCTATTGTGACATCAGCACCCTCTAGTGGGCCAGGACACTTGTGGTTATGACATAGCTCTCCCTACCTGTCCACAACCTGTCAGCCCTTCCTCAGAGGAGTTTCAGTGATAGGAACAGAGTCTGGAGTGCCTGACATGCTTCCCCAACACACTTATTCTGTGTAGGCAAGTCAGTGACTTGGGAAGCTCTAAGGTGATGGTAGCGAGGCCAATTGCCAGGCTTCTAAAGGCTGAGGCTGATGCTTCAGATAGTACAGAGTACTGCTTCCTCCATTCAGACTCCCTGTACAGCTATCAAGTTATTATAAAGGGAGCTGTAAATACATAGGTTTGATCTTTTTGGTAAAAAAATTTAAAATTTCACAAACTATAAATGTTCACTGTAGAAAATGAGAAAATACAGATGGGCAAAGGGGGATGATAAAAATCACCAGCAATTCCATCACTCACAGATAACCGCTGTTAAAAATAATTAGTATAGTCTTCACAGTAGACATTTTTCTATGCATTACATATTTGCTAAAAGAATGGGATCTTACTGCACAGGTGTTATTCCATCCTTCTATGCACAGCCATATGCTATAACCAACTTTCCATATAAATAAATTTACTCCAACATTTTTACTGTCTGCACTTCAACTTGCATAATCCATTTCTCTATTGTAAGCATTCCAATTGCCCCAAATCACAGTACAAAATCATAAGCTTAATCTTTGCACACATGTATTACAAAAACTGCCTGTATTAATTTACATTCATTTAAGTAATACAGGTATGAGAACATTTTGCATCTGTTCTTGTCAGGAAGAAAAAATGATTCAAGATTTGGTGATTCTGTTCCAGGTAGAAATGAGAAACCCAGGTGCCTGCTACAAAACACTCGAACAGGACATGGGAAACTGAAAGATTCTGACAACTCCTTTCCAGTCCCTGCAAAGGATCTGATATTTTATTTAAGGTACCTCTACCAAAGGAATTACCTTTCGAAGCCAGCCAGGACAGGAGCTGCTGGCCCCACTACTGATCCCCATGGCCTCCGTGGGACTGACTAAACCTTCCATTCCTCGGTCTGCTTCCATTGTTCCTCGGAAGCCTCCACTTGGATCGGGAGTTTCAGATTCCTGCTGACTGTCCTCCTCTTCTCCCCCACCGCCGCCGCCTCCTCCTCCCGGGCTAGAGCTCTGAACCACTGACAGATACACAGCACAGAAATAGACAACTTGGCTATGCAGCAAGAAAGATTTACCACCTTAGAGCCCCACTGACTTAGGAAGAGGTGACTAGAGTTGCATGAAGTAGAATAGCAACAGTGTAAGTCAGGTATTTGGGACTAAATTTTTTAGTTTTTACACAAGGTATTGTATATCAGTATCTTCATAATGATAATTTACTTCTTCCCAAACTTGCTTTTCCCTATGTTCATAGCAAATGATCAGTGTTCTAAACCATAACTGAACAATCACCCCAAGCACAGCTCATCAAATCTAGCATCCACGCTTTAAAAGATACATCCAGACTCCAGCATCTGCTACAAAGGTTCATCTTCTATACAAAGCTCTTTCACATTTGAGCCAAAACCCACTTAAAGTTGCCAGATAAACTCACCACCAACTCCCTTTCTGGGGAAACATCTGAATGGAGAAGTCTTCAACTATTAAAGTCATTGAATTTTTGATGACTTCGTAAGAATTTAAAAAATAGGATTGCTGGTTCTTTCTATATCATGAAGCATATTCCAAGTTACCTTAATGAAGACTAGCTGATGTGTGGTCAAGAAATGAAACTGAATTTTACTATGGGCCAAAGAAAAAGATAATTGAAAAAGTAAATTTTGCCAAAGATAATTTGCATGGTCTATTCTAAAGTTAAATGTAAAGGACTGTTTATGACTACCAACTATACTAACCAGTGCAGTCCTACTAAACTAGTAGAACTATAGATGCCGAAATAATTCTGAAGCTTGCTTTTTGTTTTTAAAAATTATGTTACATCTGAGATATACATAAGACGATTTTTAAATGATGTGTAAGTTTTGATGCCTAATAAAACACACATGAATCTACCACTTGAAGAATTAGAATTATACTTTACAATATGGTAGCCAAATATGGGTATTTAAACAGAATTAAATATTCAGTTCCTCAACCACAGTCTCCACTTTTCAAGGGCCCAACAGCCACATGTGGCTAGTGGCTGTTTCACTGGCCAGCACACATACAGAACACTGTTACTGCTGCAGAAAGAGCGATGGCACAGTGCTGAACTAGAACATTACCTATATCACTCGGCCTGCTTTGTGAAGTCCTTCTCTCGCCTCCTACCCAGATGTAAGCACTTTTTAATTTTGCATTTATCATTTCTTCTTTGAAAAACAACTTTATCACATACGTATGTATCCTTAAGCAGTATGTTATTTATTTTCCTGGATTTTGAACTTTATATAAGACATGTAGTCTGCTGTAACTTGCTTTTTACATTTTACATTATGGAAATATCTGTAGATGTTCATTTTCACTCTTATATAACATGCTATTGGATGATCATAACACATTCAACTAACAACTATTTACTGGGCACTTGCCATTTGCTAGGCATTCTTCTAGGCAATGTGGATACAATTAATGAATAAAAATAGACAAAAATGCCCTAGCTGGTTTAGCTCAGGGAATAGAGCGTCAGCCTGGGGACTGAAGGGTCCCAGGTTTGATTCCGGTCAAGGGCACATGCCCGGATTGCAGCTCAATCCCTAGTAGGGGGCATACAGAAGGCAGCCGATCAATGATTCTCTCTCATCATTGATGTTTCTCTCTCTTCTTCTCTGGAAAAAAAAAAAAAAAAAAAAGACAAAAATCCCTGCCATTATGTAGTTTACATTTTCTAGCCAATGGACATGTGCTTTTAATCTTATGTTTTTCCTTTAAATACCGTTCCAGCAAAACAAAGCTCCAATAGAACAGCTGTGCTTTGCAAAAAGAGATTTTATCATTTGTGACAGGTAGTAATATGCACAAATATATGCTGAGCAATGAATTACTAAAAGAGTCTAATAAGAGGTATAATGTACGTGCATGTGTCTGTAAACTAAAGTTCAACAACTCTAGATCAGATTTTCAACTACTTCTTTTTGGAGGATTAATCTGCTTTTATTCTGGGTTTTTATCTGTTTGATTCCACAAAATATCAGAACCCAGGTTCTGAGACATCAAAGACTACAGGTACTCTAGCAAATGGAAAACCAAAAAGAAACACATATCTAGTTTCCTGGCATGATCCCAAATAACACAGCACTAAGAACAAAGAAGCCAAAGGAAAAAGACCAGAGAGCTTTAAGCCAGTTTTCCTAACCACCTGGAAGTCTAGCCAACTTTTAATTCTGAGGGCCTGTTTTGAAGAACTATTTCTATAGAGTAGAATACCCCTAGAAATACCATGGAAATACAGGATAGACAGAATCTGTAGCCTCTAAGCATCGTCAGAAAAAAGACAATACATAAGTCACATTACAATATTGGGCAAGCCACATAATTACTTCCACATGTGTGGGGGCAAAGATGTACTCTTCCTCTGACCACAATGTAAAATTCCTAACTTACTGTGAAATCCACCCAAATATGATCCTCCCTCTTGATCACTGTATTCCTCATTTCCAAAAGATATTTCCTTTTTTTGGGAGAGACTGTATGGATTCCAACCCAAAGTTCCACACCTCACAAAACTACTGGTACCTAAGACATTGCTACTTACCAGTTCCAATGGATAAGCCACTGCTATTGGAACGGATGGTCTTAGAATTCAATACTTTCTCTGAGGAAAAAAATTCAGTAGTTAAGCATTATATACAGCTATAGGCAGGAAAAAGTGAGAAGGACTAGGATAGGGAGTTGATCTAGGAGATAACTGCTATTCCTCACTCCAAATAAACTAAAATTAATTACTGTTTTAGATATTAATAACATAAGCCAAGCACCACTAGCTATATTCTATATTCACTATATAAAGTATATTCACTATGTAAAGTAGCAATTCTCCTTAACTGTTCTTTGGAATCATCTGGGAAGCTTTAGAGATTTGGTTTAATTGGACAGGGATTTCTAAAAGCTTCTCAGGAGACTAATGTGCAGCCAAGGTAGTGAACCACTGATCTAAAAGAATGAACTTATAAATCCTCACAGAGGGCCTTTATATAATTTAGTTCATAACAAAGTACTCTTTCTGCAGAAAGCAGTTATGATTTAGTTTCTTTTTAAAGGTGTACTAAATGTTTCTCAAAACAGCATAAACACAGACAACAAAGGCTACTTAGTAGAGAACTAGAAGTAACAAATTCAATGGCAAGGGAGGCAGAGAACAAAGTTATATTAAAAAATGCCCAGTTGGTGTGGCTCAGAGATTGAGTGTCAACCTATGAACCAGGAGGTCATGGTTCAATTTTTGGTCAGGGCACATGCACGGTTGCCGGCTCTATTCCCAGTGGTGGGTGTACAGGAGGCGGCTGATCTATGATTCTCACACATCATTGATGTTTCTCTCTCTCTCCCTTTCTCTCTGAAAGCAATAAAAAAAATTTATTTTTAAAATGGTCAAGAGGTGGCAAATGATAAAGCTCAGGAAGTGACAATGTTCTGTTTCTACCACTAGGCATGGCATCCTGACATTGTAAGACTTACAGAAGTAGCCTCTTTTCTTCAGGACACTTCTGTTTCCAAGAATGTAGCCACCAGCATCTTAAGTAGAGGTCTATCCTCTGTCAAAGCCACCTCAATCCACACATGTGAAACCCTTACCAACAATGAGAATGGTGTGCCAGCCACGGCAAGACAGATCTGGGACATGATGCAGAGATCCAAAAATAGGCCGAGGCCAGGAGGTACAGATATCAGAGCCATGAGGTCTCTCTGTAGGGGTCATTGCCAGGCGACCATTACCACCATTGCCCCAGGCAAAAATGTGATTATCTAGGAAAAAACACACATTAAACAGCAGATAGTTTAATAGAATGCTGGCTTCCCAACTCTGGGTTCCCCGTCTTTATGCCCTAGAGCTAGAAAGTTTCCCCACTATGTACAAAACAAGGGAAAGCTGTTTACTCCCCTATATATAAGCCTAAACAATTCCTATATTCCCCAGGTAAGAATGACTACTGTTCCTACACTGCCATCCAGTCATTTATTCATTCTACTCATTCAACAACTTTTTTTGGTCATTCCTTCAAATATTTACTGGGCATCTACTTCATGAAAGGCACTGCTTGAGGTGCTGGGGACAGAGCAGTGAACAAAACAGTCGCTGTCCTCTGGAAGTGACATACTAGTCGGGGAAGACTGATAAATAGAAAAGCAGTGGAAATAAAAAAGTGAGGTATTATTATTTTAGACTAGAGGCCTGGTACATCTGTGCACCAGTGGGGTCCCTCGGCCTGGCCTGCGGGGATTGGGCTGAAACTGGCTCTCCAATATCCCCCCAAGGGGTCCTGGACTGTGAGAGGCGGTTCTCGCGTGACGCACCCTGGAATCAGGCTCCCTCCTCTCTGGTTCTGGATACTTCATCTGAGAACCGC